GTAAGTCAATCTCTTTAGGCGTATTTTAAACGGATATTATTTTGTGGGTCATTTTTCAGAACAATCAACTGCCTCGACCATTTGGAGACCATTCTGCCGGGTAAGACTCAAAACCCTCGAGCTGCTGTCGGTTGCCAAGTTGACTGATCTGCGAACAGCGGGTAGACATCTTAAATTCCATGACAATCAGATTTCGACGCAGATTCCGCAAGAACAATCCGCCGATCAGGGAAATCGCGACGATCTCGGCATGAAGGTGCGTTTTCGCGTATTCGTTGTCGGAAGAATCGTACTTACCGAGACTGCAACCGGCTCAGATGCCCGTCGATCGGTCGCCTACGGCGAACGGAATATGATGAAGTTAGAGCGGACGTGGACGCAGAACACGAGCGGGCGGACACGATTGTCGCACCGGACTCGAGCTGCGAACCGGAGACACTCACGGGAGCATAGGAGAATCCATATCCTCTGGAAAACCATATAAAACACCTACAATACACTGAAATGCGCAGTGTTCGGACATCGAGCCGAAATCGTGATGTATTTATAATATAAGTGGCGTTACGTTTGTAATTCGCACGATATCTCGCGAGCGTCGCAATCGATTCATTCGGTCACGCCGCGATCTTTCAGTCACGTGATCGTGGTCCTCGTTCGAGATCCACCAATCACCGCAGCGATCTTGTAGAAATTCACGCGCTAAAATTTAGTTTTAATTTAGTATATAATGTATTAATTTTTTAAATCAATGACAAATATACATTTAGATACCGCCGGAAAAAACGTGCAGATTGCAGGTGCAAAAAAAAAAGCGGACTCGGCGATATCGATTTATATCGCGACTGTGCGATGCATCGCAGCAACTCGATTGTACGTCACTGTATGTACATCGCTCGCGTACACATGTCGCGCCATTTTACTGTTTTATACCTCCGTACGCTCTTTTATATGAATTTCGGGAGCTCGGTAATTATGAATTAATGAGGCTGCTAGTAGCTGGTAGTTGCAAATAATGGCTGAGTACCGTTAGTTGATTTTCTACTTCTTTTTTTTAATCTCTAGGTCGTTACGCACCGTCGTCGCGTCAATTGGGAACACTTTCCGTACTGATCAGGCGGTGTTGTGTACGTGTGCGTGCGTGCATGTGTCGGTCTGTCCATCTTGTTTCCTATTTCCCTTCAGACGCCGCCCCTGTCGTAATTTAATTTTTCATCCTCTCGACCATCTCTTGTTTCGTGAGAAAGGTGCCAAGTTTTCATTATTGAAAATGAACATATCTTCCATCTCGGAAACAATTGCAGTGATTCTACTTTGCAGGAATAGAGCAACTGTCCGAAGCTATAAAATCGTCATTAAATATACTTTTGACTTCGCGTGATCGCTTTACTTTATATTTTATTCTCATAACATATTGTGCTTTACGAGACTAATTTAATTTTTACTTATGGTGTTTTTCCACGTGTAATATTTGTATCTTTTTTTCTCTCTTACCTTTAAGAAGGATCAGGATCTTATTGCGTGTCATCAGGAGTGGGTAGTGATTCCGAAGCCATGGCAGAATTAGCGGCACTCCTGCGACATGAGATTCCTGAGGGTAGGAACAATCTGGCCGACAGCCATACGAATCTGGAGAGAGTGGCAGAATATTGCGAAGCTAATTATTTCCAAGCAGAAAACAAGAGGATTGCACTGGAGGAAACGAAGAATTATACCACACAGTCCTTGGCCAGCGTTGCATATCAAATAAACACGCTGGCGTATAATTTTCTTCAACTGCTGGACCTGCAGACATCCCAGCTCGCTGAGATGGAAAGCCAAATGAATCACATCGCACAGACAGTCATGATTCACAAGGAAAAGGTGGCCAGAAGAGAAATAGGCGTCTTGACAGCCAACAAGATGACAACTCGCCAGTACAAAATCATCGCTCCTGCCAATCCTGAGAAACCGATTAAGTATGTCAGAAAGAGTATTGATTACACAGTCCTAGATGAAATTGGACATGGTGTACGCAGTTGCGGTACACCGCGAAGCAAACAGAGAGGAGGTAGTCAAGGCAGCGTTCAGAGTTTAGGAGCTACTTCCACAGGTTCAGGATTAGGTGCTGCGATGGTAGGACCCGCTCCTACCACCAAACCACCCACACCACCTCAAACAGTGAGAACTGGTAAGAGTTTTATATATATATACAAATATATATAATATAACATACAGAATGTTTGGCAGTTGTTGTTGCAAACAGAAAATTTTTTCTTATCCCTACATCATTTACGGAGAACAATCTAGTTGTATCAAACATTCTGTATGCACAGGGTGTCCCAGGAATGCTCTGGGACACCCTACGTAAGCGCTAAGAATTGTACGAGTGCTACACAAACTTGTAAAGGTGTACTTTTTCAGTTGCGGTTATAAAAAAATTAAAATCATTTCGCTAACGCAAAGGTATTTACTGCTTCTTGCTTGCATGTGTGTCTTTTCTTTCTTTTGGCTTCTAAATGTTATACTATTCTATCTGTCGCATTTGATGTTACATGTATTAATCTTATTAATACATCGAATAATGATCCACAACATTCTTTGTGTATAGGAACATTGAGTAAAGGATCGCGCGAATATAGGACTCCGCCAGCGGTAGCCCCACCTCAAGTTCCTAGCCACTACGCGCCCAACTATCCGCTTGGCCATCCCAGGCGAGATCGCCCGGGATATAGCACTCTACCATTGCATGCTCATAACACGTCCCACACGAGTCATAATACCAATCATAACGCGCATGCCAATACTATCAATCAGCACACTATGCCGCAAGTGGGAACGGTTCATCCCTTACAGAATCATCCTCAAACGCCACCTCCAGCACCGCCCAGCGTTACCGCGGGTTATGTGCAGGAGCAGCATAACAGTATGCCTCGTAAGTAATTAATAACGATATTGATAATGAAGCTATATTCATACTATAAATAATAAAGATATATTCATTTTAATGTTTGATCTCATGATTTGTTATGAGATACTGATACTTCTTTTGCCATCTCAGCTCCACCTTCGCCTTTGGTTGGGCTAGGCGATATGTCTGAATATACCGGCCATCACACCTTGCCGCACAGATTATCGCATCAAATTAGCCGTAGTAGCGGTGCAAATAGTCCACCTTTACCACCGCCACCACCACCAGAGCAGGAGGAACATCCGCAATTTGGCAGACCAACCCCATCTGGTGCTATAATGCCGATCGTGCCGGATGAGGAAGATCTGCCCGGATGGGTACCAAAGAATTATATCGAAAAAGGTAGAATCTCAGAATTAATTTTGTCTGTCGTATTGCTAAACATTTAATATATGAATTAATATGTAAAATGGATAATATAATAAGATATGTTATATTAGTAACACAGTATGTAATAATGTAAAAATTGCAATTGCAGTGGTGGCTATTTATGACTATTACGCGGATAAAGAAGACGAGCTAAGCTTTCAAGAGAGTTCTGTGATCTACGTGCTCAAGAAAAATGATGACGGATGGTGGGAGGGTGTAATGGACGGTATAACTGGATTGTTCCCAGGAAATTACGTCGAACCATGCGTATAACTACATGCAATAATTGGCTATATCAAAATAACTAACGGAAGACTGCAATTTTTAAGCATTTATCATACATGTACGTATTATTAATCGCATTTATATTAATCACTAATCAATAATATCTCGATTGTAAATGAAAATTATTCTTTATCTCACTTTTCGTTCGAATTTGTATAATCATAAGATTGTACAAAAAATGATCGAGGCTCATAAACACAAAAGACATGATTTTTGTCTTATAGATATTATTTTATAATTTATTGATAAATAAAAAGAGTTTAAGCCATGTGTTATAACAGTAATATGAATGATAGCATATATACGTGCATTAATCAACAATAATCTGCAAGGGATGCAGTGGACGGTGCAGAGATCGAAATATCACAAACTTCCTTCATATATCATTATAGATTTTACATTCTCTATTTAGAATCCAGATAACATTTATAAGATATCTAAAAAACTCTTTTAGATGTCTTATGTCTAAAAATGTCTTAAATATTTTATACAACATGCATGTTATCTGGGAATATTCTCTTCTAATTCTAGCCTAATTTACAATGTGCTTTTTCCTTGGTTTTTGCTTTTTACGTCTTGCCTTTTTTCCTCTTTGCGACTGTTTTGATCAACAATCATAAAGTGTTTCTTGTCTCTTTTGAAAGATATATAGGAGAAAATGAAGATATATAGGAGGCAGAAAAAAAAAGAGATAAAAAACGGTAAAAAACAAGAAATAGAGCAAAGATTAGGCTTTATTTTGTTCTCAATATGCGAGATATCTTGCCGTATTTATAATCGTGCAAAATGACGAACGATAAATAGCTGTTGCAATGTTATGTTACATGTAAGATAAGAATGTATGGTATTTGATCATCGAAAAAAAAAATTCAGTGGAGCGAGTTCTGAATCAAACATTAAAAAGTTAATTTTTATATTAATGTAAGAAAGTGTATTTTTCTGCATCTAGTATTTCCTTGAGTAGATATTGAATTATATATACTATATATAGCAATGGAATTATATTCTATTATTTACGTACCCTTATATATGTACATATATGTGTAAAATCACATGTTGCAATAGACATCTTTTACCTCTGGATCTGTTTGCATTCGTACATTTATACACTATCGGAGGTCGTACGACTGTTAATTTAAAAAATTTCAAACAACGATAACATATCACAAGGATGTAAATAAGTTATTATTTATCTTCTTTATAAACTTTATTAACATAAGATAAAACTAAAATAGGGAAAATGCGACCTTTCAATTTTCAATATCCAATAATGTGCATCGAGATCGATTAACGTGGTTTTTATAAAGTTCTCTTTTTTTATATATCACAAGTATGGATTCTCATATACAAACAACTTTTTACGCGCGCATCATTGGTCAGTTTGAGATAAATTTTATCGTTTTTTAGGATACTTTTTCTTTTCTTCTCTTTTTAGGAAAAACATACAAACATGATTAGATACATTTTAAATAACTAAGACGAATCAATCGGCTGGTATCGGTAAAGTAGGAAAGTACTCCTGCGCCTTTTTCGCAGCGGAGTATTCCACGTTGTAAACGGGATGGATCACTTCTACCTTATTCGTGAGTCTTCTTCCGATGATCGACTTTATTGGTGAGTTTTGCGCAATCGATAATCCACTAAGAACATAACATGTGTGGTATATGTCACGATTTCTAAGAAAAGAAGGGAAAAAAGTTATCACATGATTAACGCGATAAAAATTACTCGCCAATGAAATTACATTTATGGTAATTACAGACGCGAAAGAGTGTGATAACATACTTTCCCGGTTTATCCAGAAGACCGCCATGTGGATTCTGACAGCAAGTTAATATATACTCTTGTAAGGCCTCTTGGTTGAACAGCCAATGGTCGGAATTGTTAAACCCCTTTCCCGGCGTCGACAAAATAGCGGCGATCAATGGAAACGTCCCACCTTGCCAGAAAGAATAGCACCCGTCTACTAATTTGTTCGTACGTCCTTGGAAACCGCCTTCCAAACGCATCTGCTTATTTACAATCCACCTCTGTGGAATGGTAAGGATGTGAACGTGAAGATCCTACTGTAATCGTAAAGAGGAACTTACCAACAATCCTGGTAAATGGCAAAGCTCTGTTTTTCCGAGCATTACGAGCGCTGCCAAAGCGCAATATGCATATCCACCGTGAGCCTCCATTCCCGGACAACCGCCGAAACCACCCTCCCATGTTTGACATTTGGCTATCCACTCGGCGGTACCTTTGAACATATCTGGCGTGTACACGTTTGTCAACTTGGCGGCAGCAAGGGCACAATACGCCCCACGTATGTCTACCTCGCCGTTTTCGTGCATACAGAAAGAACCGTCCTCTCCGCGCAAGGACGCTAGGAACCGTTTCAAGTTCTTTCTAAAATTATAATTTAATTTTTAAGCAAAAAATCTATCTAAATTAAAAATGTGCAAAATGTTTTTAAAATAATAGCATTATTATGAAAAAAATTATATTATTTACCTATCTATCACATCGTATGCCTCTTGTGTACCAATGGTGCATAATGCGTTCACTGCTGCATATGTAGACGCTAAATGTGAATATTGTCCTGGGCCTCCACCGAAACCACCTGTCGACGATTGACATTTGGCCAGAAAGCCAGCTATCTTGGAACACTCCTCACTTTCCAATCGTTCCCCTAATATCGCAAGTGAATGCAATATCCAGAAGCACAGCCATGGTCTACTGGAGTCCAAACACTATATGGTATTGTTACAAACACTCAATAAGTTCTTTCTTTGTTACAAGCAGAATGATATTTTTCCTCAATCATCTTCAAAAGCAATGGCTGCGTTGAGTAGAAAAAGTAGCAGCTTTGCAACTGTTGTAAAATTTTTGAATATGATTAGTTTATACATTTAAATCCAGTGAAGAAGGACAAGACCAATCATTAAAGAATTTGACAACAGTTGCAAAGCTGCTTTTTCTGCTGAACACAGTCAATATTACACATATATGCTGTTTGATATTAAAAGTAGTAGATACCTCATAAGTGTCATTTAAATTAGTGATTGCTTTCTTCAAGAACTGAATGTGTTTGGGCCTAAGTAAAATAGGATCCCCTTCTCTACATGATCTATAAAACTTGAGCACAATCTCTTCGACGCGAGCCTGAAAAGATATACAGTGGAAAGGTAAAAATTTTACATTAAAATAAAACGCAATAGAAATTTGTTGATTCCAAGAATAAGTCAAATACAAATAAAATACCTATATGAGTCTCTGCAGCTGTTTGTGCATAAATTGTGTACAATTACAGCTCACAAGTATTTTATAATTTTAAAACTATAGCACAGAATAGTAGTATTCGACGAGTGATGAATAAATATGAATCTAGTAACATAAACATAGGTAATGAGTTTGCTTCACGTGAAGAAATCTACCTGTTCATTTGTCGTTGCGGTTTTATATCCTTCATCCTGCCGCTGCTTTAATATTTCCTCATAACTCCTTCGTCCTGTCTTCAATCCCAACTCCAAATCCGACATAATCTGTTAATCACGAACAATGATTTGACACACACACACACACATACACCCACACATGGTCCGTTAATAAAGCAGTAATCTACTTCGCAAAACAAAACGTCTCGATAGTCGAGGTGTACAATTTATTTTGTAATTTTATCACAAAATATTCAAAAGAGAAGAAGAGATTCTTTAGAGGTTAAGAAATCTTCCTTTCATGCTGTCTCTTTCTGCAACTACCCAGCTTAGAAAATTATATACCATACATTTTTACACGACATATCCTATTATACTTACATTTAAATTTATATATATTAGGTGTTATTGTATATACAATGTTAACTGGTATTACAGTTACACTCATAACCTATTTATTTTATTAACACGACGGCACCGAATGACACCTGTGTACGAAACGGACGGCTCTCCGTCATAGCGTAGTGCAATACTTATGCCGCTTTCAAAAGTCAAATTGCACCTTCAAGGCGTAGCTAACTATCGAGGCTACACGGAATATAGAAATCATACGTATCCCTGTATTTTATCCTACGCGATTCCTACGAAGCGGATTCCTCCCTCCGCCGAAGAACATTTACTGAAATAAAGAGACGATCAATTTATTCCTCTCTTTTTTTTTTTTTAGATCATCGTTCTACTCGCGTTGTGGAGGAAAGAAGGTACGGTTCCATTCAATATATAAACGTTCAATTCATTCGCGATCAGGATTGCCAGGAATTGCGTTGTAGGCACAACGGAATGGACATTCCTGAATTTTTTTTACAATATAAAGGTCTTTCTGTTCTTTCGTTATTTCCTGCTTATCCGTGTCGCCGCTTTGCATTTTTTTCCATCTTTTTTTTTTTCTTTTACAAATGTTTCAACACCGGCATACATTTACATGCATTCCGTGGTTTCTGTATATTACGCGCGATTCTCGCTTAGTCCAGTTTAGTCATGTTTACGGATCAATAAAGATCTACGTGGATATACGTAACTGCGATTTAAATATAGGCTAGGAAGCAGAAAGCGACGCGCGTCTTCCGCTCCGCGAGATTCAGTCGGCGTAGATTAGCGGTAAAATCGAGGAAAGAAAAGAGCGTCGGGACGAAAATGACGACGTCGTGCTCCCTCTCTCCTGTCAGTAAACAGAATTAAGTGAGTATGAATCATCAGACAAAATGCGCACGCACTTGGCGTTTTCTACGCGTTAACTGAAAGAGATTTGCGCACTCCCACGCGTACATCGCGGCTGGGGTTAGCGGGGTATGTTGGATTTTTTGTTTGTTTTATTTTTCTTATGTGAAACGCGTCCCGCGGTCCTCGCGCGTCGCGCGTGTTGCGTAACGCGAGATACGTCTCGTCGTCGTCGCGCGTCCCGACTCCCGTTAGCGTCGCCGCGCGCGCGGAAACGGTGAGTTTTCTATAAATAGCGGTGTCACGCACAATTCGCCGTGGTGGGCCAACCCACCGGGGCGGGCCAGTCCTCGACGTAGATGGGAGATAGGTAGGAACGCTACCGTTCGACGTTCCTTCCTCCGAGAGAGTTGAGAGTTGCCGCAACGTGACCGAGCGGTCTCGAGCGACGTGATTCTCGTGAATTCTCGTGGCCCGCGATAGTCGTACACGACACCGCGTGTTCATCCGTGGAGCTCTCGGCGAGGAGAGGGTAGAGACAGGGATCTAGCAAAAAGGACCGCGGCCGTGTCCTTCGGGGAGGGGTGCTATTTTTAGGCGGTATATGTTCGGGCATATGTTCTCCCCAACGGCCCCTGCCCGATTCTTTTCTAAAAGCGAGCGATAACCTTTGATCGTCCGTACTGTTTGTTGGAAGGTCGTAGTATTAGTTATTAAGAGAAACGATTTCCATTACGATCCGGTGTTCTTGTTTGTTCTGTAGAAGAATGGAGAACGAGCAGCATCACTATGAGCTTCGCAGCAGAAGCAGATCACGTTCCCATACGCCTATGGTTCCAAATCGTCCCCAGCAAGAGCCAGAGGTGACAGAGCGTCATTATGATCTCAGAAACTGGAGCCGGGAGAGATCTCATACGCCTGGAGAAGTAACCAGTAGTAGAAGATCTGGCTCTAGATCATTGTAAGTAATCAATCTAAACATAAAAGTATTTGCTGTTAATGATTATAGACAAGTTATACCTTTATCATTTGTATTTACATGACTATATAGAACTGGCAGCGTAAAGACACATGAAAAGAACATGGAAACCATAGAAGAGAATAAGGAGGGATCTGTCACGGAAAGTCTAATGGATAATCAAAGCACAAAGTCCGAAGGTTCTGTCGTCACCATAAAAAAGGCAGAACGCCGGTCGGAGCGTCAAAGAGCCAAAAGGCAAATATTTGTCAATGGCCAGAATGAAAGTAAGGAGGATGCATCTGACAAGAAAGCAGAACGAAGACACAGAAGTGTTACACCACGAAGAATATTTACCAGTGACTATTCTTCGGAAGAAGGAGAAAGGGAAGATCCTCCAAGTAGGCCAGGATCCGCCTACGAGATTTACAAGCAGGCTGGTGAATGGTGGAAGTACGAATATTTTAAGTTTGCAATTTTATAAGCACAATTTTAACCATCGAAGAAGTGTTTCTTCTTTATGTAATACATAGAATTTTCGCAAAAATGATGAATCTAAAAATTTCCGTAAAAAGAACTTTTACCTGACGGAATCTAATTCCGGATCGGATTATGCCATTTTTTTCGCTACGGTTTTAAGAGCAAACGCATTCGATCCGTAATTAAGTCCAGGCAAAAGCTCTTTTTGTGGAAATTTGAAATTCTAATTTTTGCGGAAATTTTATGTATTATGAGGCCTAACTAAAAAGAAGAAGTGTTTCTTCTTTATATAATACATAAAATTTCCACAAAAATGATGTGAATCTCAAATTCCACAAAAATATATGGATCTCAAATTTTGAAATTACAGGGTATTTTTGGTTTTTGCTAATACAAAATCCATTACATTACGAAAACCAAGAATCACTCACGTGACATCAAAATTGAAATCCACATCTTTTTGCGGAAATTTGAGATTTATATCATTTTTATTATGTAAAGAAGAAATACTTCTTCTTACGTTAGGCCTCTGGCTTGTGTTACACTTCTCTCATATGCTTGTAGTGCACACACCGATTATTCAATTGCCACAAGCATATGAGACCTGCGGTTTTCAATGCCGATTCCGAACGGCAGATTTTTCGAGAGCGTTTCTGTGGGCAAAGATACTCGGGAGATTGCCGGCCTTTTCCAAGAAGAGACACGAGCGTAAATTTTTTATTCCTACTGGGATTGAACCCGAGATCTTTGGCCTGATAGACCAATGCGTTATCTACTACACTCGCGTTTTTCTACTTTAAGTTTTATTCTGTATATACTATACACGTTTCCTGTTTTTAACGGCAATTTTTTAATTCGGATGTTAAATGATTAATCGCGTTCAGCACACAACTTATGGAGCGGATCCATGAGCGCCGCTGCTATTGGACGATCTTCTAGAAATCTAGAAGAATACATCAATAGCAGCAAGCGCTCATGAATCCGCCTCTGCAACAGTTGACTTTGCTGAATGCGACCATTGTACCAATAACGAATTCCTCTTCCTGTGATTTACATTTGTTTGATTCAATGTTGTTTATTTTGAAGATATATTCCTTCCGTTGGAGAAACAAACGTTTATAAATAATAGCATGTCTTAATTAGCATTAGTCACAGGGTGTAGGTCAAGTTAGCTTGTGCTAATAAATAGTATTGGAATTTAAACGAACAATTTGCATGTACCATTTGTGCGAAAAATCAATCATTATTTTTGAATGTTTTAGCGTTTTTCCAAAGACAGATTATACATATTCGCCAACGTCGCAGTGTCGTTACGAGATCGCCCCAGGTATATTAGCTATGCCTAATATGTCGAGACGGTCTATACATGTAAACAACAACGGAAGTACCGTATCTCAAACAAATCATCGAAATTTAAGTCAAGCTTCGCGAGTAACGACAGAAAGCGGAATCAGCGATATGGACACGGCTGATTTGAAAGAGACCACCTCTCTAATTCATTCGGTAAGTATTTATTTGTCATCTTGAATTATTGTTCTCTTATTTTTCTTGATGTATCATGACATTGCGTTTTAAAACTATATGTAAATTTTGCAGTTCGGGGATAATTGCGACATGTCACGCGCGGATATGTCGAATTCTACAGCAAAAACGACTTTGTATAAGAAAACACATGTAAAACAATATACAAGTCACAAAGAAATAATTTATTCGGATCCAAGAGGTTCCTCAAATTTTCGGTCAAGGTATTTTTTATTTTTTCTCATTTATTAAAATAAAATTTTTGTTGAAATAAAATTCAGTTAATGCAATTTTATTTCAACAGCTACTTATCATGGGTGAATACTCCAATTGGAAAGTATGATGCATCTCATGCTGATTCTGATACCGATTTGGATACTTACGTAAAATCATCGGTCAAAACTAATCAAAGTTGGGTCGTGCAATGGTTCACATACTTTACAACCTTTATTGTCACCTGCTTCAGGAAAACTGTCGAATTCTTCAAGTTTAAAACGGACGGGAAAAGACAGTATTATGTTTCACAAGCTTATCACTCATCCAATGGTATTAATGATATTCAAGAAACATTATTTTTTATAAATATAGAAATACAGTAAAAAATAGTAATTATATAAAATTATATAAAAATATATAATCAAGCGTAATATAATAATTATCTTTTGTTATGTAGCGTATTAATATTGAATATGTCTGTTAACTAATTTTCTTATTGTTCGCTGTTTCTAGAATCCAAATGGAGCTCGTTGTGGCAAACTTTGGATCGTTATACGCACAATATGTACTTTTTCTTCGTCAGAATGCTTGTACTCGATGCTTGGCTGTTGAGTCGATTCACTGGCATTAGGAAGTGGCTACAAGAGAAAAGCCCAAGGATTCTATGGATCACACTTTTACCGTTACTTCTTTTGTTTGGTGAGTTTCTTCATCTTGTTGAAGGAATATAAAAAAATCAGAGACATCACTGAATTCCATTTTTATTAATCCACATGAAATCTAAACAACCGATCCAAACACAGTCAGACCAATGTCTTTCGTGGGACCTGAAAGACACATAAACCTATCCTGGCCTTCGTATTTTTTTTGTTTCAGGGGCTTACATCGCGCAGAGGCATTATTTCACTTTTGCGGATTCTCTGCGCAATGTCCAATACGGTGTCATTGAGACGACTTATCACATCTTTAACAATATAAGCAACTTAATGTCTTTTACCTTTGAATCGTTTATAAAATACCTTGCAGATCTTAAAAATTATTTCATGCACCTCTTACCGAGTGTGAACGTGTCTTTGCCTGAAATGCCTCCTATTGGGTGGAATATAAAGTGGTGATTAATTGAAAAGTTGTCAAAATAATAATCTTAATATAATAATTTAATCCAAATAGATGAAAGCGGTATAAATATCCATATTTTTTTTACAAAATTATATATGATGAGAGCAAAATTCTATTATATTGCAATTTTGCAATTAATAGTATAACATTTTTTCAGACATTTTTAAAAATTTTCATATAATATTTTTAAGAAAAATTTGAATACCTCTTTCATCCATTTATTCCTCAAATTAATA